GGTTTGTATAATCAACTCTTTTAACTAGATTGGTACGCATTTAAAAGATACTCAATGCTAACCCATTTTCCTGTCTTATGATGTATAGTATACCATATTGATTTTAAATTTGGATGGGGGATCTGACAGAATGGTGAATCTGACAATTTTGGAGATATATAATGCATTCAGCAGAAGAGGGGTGTATTCAACACTTAATAATTCTGAAGCAATTTGTATTTAAAGGTTTTAGGCTGTTTTGATCAACATTTCTTTTGAAGGCTAGCCCTAAGGAATTGTAAATGTGGGACTACCTTACATTTAAGTAAAATAATATTACAGGAAATATCAAGTTTTACAGAAACATTAATAATTATGTATTTAGTTACATAACAAATAAATAAAAATATAAATTTTGAGGCTGTATTTGATTTGTTAGGTATTTTTCATTTTCTCCTTTGTTATTGGCAGCATTTTAGAATACTTTGGCTGTAATGCTAAGTTGAACAAACTGCAGCTATTATGTTTAAGTTCTGTTACCTCTCTTTTCCATTATTGTTTTTACATATTGCTTTCTTCCAGTCATTTTGATGGGCAATTGCAAAATTCTGAAATTTCCAATGATCTTGTTCTATTTCAAAATTAAAGCCTGTAATAAGCAATATTTTAAATAAATATATGGCTCAAAATAAAATGCTTTTGACAAAAACCTTAATGATTTCACTATAATTATGTAACAATTATGTAATGATATTCTGCAGACAAATCTAAGGTTTATATTACCTTGTTTCATTGCATGGTTACAAACTATAAACCTAAATTGAGCTTGAAATATTGTGTAATCAGCTCTGCTTTTTTTCAAATTATTCATTATATCATAACCAAGTATTTTACAAATAATTAATTTTCAATTTTTTTTTTTTTTTTTTTTAATATGCCCCTCCCCTGCTGAACACACACACACACATATATATATATATATATATATATATATATATGATGTGATTTTCATAATCAAGCAGCATCAGAAATATAGATAGGTATTTATACGGATGGCACAACTATTTATTCCTGTCTTAGTAACAAGTCTGACAGATCTGACAAAGTAAAACTGGTAACTACTCTTGAAAAAAAAAAAAAAGGACCTAATAGGTTAACTGGAGCAGAAAATATCTTGGCAATGTTAACTCCTCCAAAACGAAACTGCTTTCATTTAATCACTACGAAGAATCTTTGGAGTCTGCTATCAACATGGCTAATGCTAAACTCCAGGAGAGCGACACTTTGTTTCTTCTTGGGAACATGTTTTCTACTAACATGAAATGAAGTGATTATATTTAACCTATATTTATTGCTAGGTCTAGTACTGAGTAAATTGGTTCAGTGCCATGCTAGACAATTTTTCTCATAAGAATCCTTCTTGCACATTAATAAATCTATCATTGTGCATTAAATACTGCTGCCATATCAGGTCTAGTGCTCCTCCTATATCTTTCCAGATTTTCTTGACAAAATTCAATGAAAGGTCTGTAATCTAAATGATCCTCATCTGGCATCTTGACTTCCCTTTCTCACTGCTTTGATGTGGCTTCTCTTTGTTTCTTCTAAAAAATATTTTCATGGCAATTGTTCTGATCAGCATTTCTTTTTTAGTGCAGCTTTCTCAACGGCATAATTTTAAGCATGCTACTATGTTAGCAATTAGGTCTCCCCATTTTACTGTTGAACTAGTTACATGTAACAGTTCTATTCTAATAGTTTTTCTCACCTGTGGAACTCCCTTCCAATTTCTTACTTCCCTGCCACCTACAATCTCCAGAAATTTTAATTCAATATCAATCATCATCTTCTGTTTTCCTGAATTCTGTTCCTTTCTCTTTGCTAAAATCTTCTCTTTCACTCTCTGTAACTCTCTGCATCCTAGTGATATTATCACACTTTGGATGAAATAAATAAAAAATAAAATAAATAAAAATAAAATCCATTAAATTTTACAAATTTTTTATATATTTACCAAGATATAAAGAGAAAAAATAGTTTCTAGTTGTCTTATGCACAAATAATTTTTTACACAAACTTTCCGAGAGAGCCTGCCTTAATTTATTACTACACTAAGATTTTAACATGAGTGAACCTTGGAAAGTTTTCTTGTATCATGCCAAGTAATCCTTTAAACATGAATTAGTTTTGCATATACTTGATTTTAATTGCTACTATCTGCCTACCTGCCAAAAAAAGTAAAAAAAAAAAAAATTTTGATTAACTTTGTTTCAAGCTAAAGTGCAACTGGATCTATACACATAGGATCTATATCAGGATTAAGATCTATGCACATAGATAGCATTTAATTGTTAAAAGTAATATACACGAGTCTCTAGAGGAAACTTGTGACTTTGTAATTTAATATGGTCAGTGCATCTCTATGGTACATGAATCACAACCAAAGACACCTTTTTTTTTTTTTTTTTTTTTTTTTTTTTTTAGAGAGATCTTTTAAGCCCATCCACTGGTGGTTAAACAGTGTATATAGGTTACGGCAAGCTTTGATTAGTTAAGATTGTTCTATCCTTAAACCTGTCACTCGAGTGCAGCTCTGGGGGGGGGGAGTTTGCCCCACGTTTACTTGTGGTGCTGACACAGCATAAGTGTTCTGAAAGGTCCTTGATTACTTGATACACTTTAAGGAGTGCTGCTGATTTTGTGCTGAAAGAAATGTTAATGACCTCCTCCTTTATTGTATGACTCTACCATCTGAGCCAGGCTTGCAAGTACTTGCTCTGTAAAGTACTGCATTATTATTGGGCACAGAAGCCATCTGTTTTTGATGTGAGTGTTGGCAACTTTCCTATTGTTACTACGACCAGAACGACTACTGTTGGCACTTTTGTAACTGGATCCTACAAAGGTAGTCTTGGTATTTTCTGGGCATAGTAGTAATGTTTGGCGTCTTAAAAAAAATAAAAATAAAAAAATAAAAAATAGAGGAGGAGCCTTCTGTTCCTCCCTGGACTTATTTGTCTGTGCCTGCACTCTGTGGGCAGCTTCTGTAAATATCTCTTCTCACCTTAACCAACGAGTGCATACCTGTTCCTCTTGTTACATACATATATGGTTGCCATGCCAGTATGCTCTCTGGTGGCACTAATACTGATAAAGTAAGCTCCTAGGGTAGGGCTTCTTTGAGCTGCTTCATAGCCTCACTAAATGAACATAGTATTTGGAAAAAGTCCAAGATACCTTCAGTCTTGCTTCTCTTCATTTGGGCTTACATTCTCCTATTTCAAAGTTTCTTCAGGCCAGGTAGCAAATGAGATATATATATATATATATATATATATATATATATAATGACTGTACCAGATCCATTTTTCTGCTATTGCAAACTTAAATGTTGTGCACTAAGATTTTGTCTCCTTAACTGTTTACTGTGTATTTATGATGTGGATCCTGATCAGATCAGTTTTGCCTATATTAAAATTATTTTTATTTATTTCTTCATTTATCCCAATTCTGTGTTTTTTTAAAGTAAAATAAACCAGAAACTTGTGTGTGTAATATATATATATATATATATATATATATATATATATATATATATATATATATATATAATATGGCACATGATTAGAATGTTCACTTTCTCACCATGAGACCCCAGTTCCAATCTTACCAGGTTGATTTGTCAGGGAGGTGACTTCCAGACGTTATTGGTCTGGAGGAGGCGATCCAGCATCCAGCACTTTTTGGAAAGTGCCTGAAAAATCACACCACATGTTGACCCAAGCCTTGTGAGTGGAATTGGGTAGACGGAACTCTTGGGGGCTGTTGATGATTGTTTTAGCACAGTCACAAGTCATTGTGTCCAATGGTTTGAGCTTGTTGGCTTTAACATTGTTGATCATGCTATATAACATGCTCTCTCCCAGAAACTGTAACTAAGGTCCACTCGGCTTAGGTGCAGTATAAACCACACTGGGCTCTGTAGGTGTCTGTTCAAATACAAATATGCCTGAGCAGGCATCTGTAATGGGGACTAGCTAACTACCCGAGTAGACTGACATCCTTGGATACAAGTTGCCAGACATGCAAATACTCTTGGAAAAGGTTTAAATGCATCTCTTCTCCCTCCAGATATGGGTTAAATAGCAGGACAGGCTGGGTTTTAGACTTGGTTGTCAACCAGTCTACTGCAGAAGGAATTGGCAACCTACTGCACAAATGTTCAAATGCTCTCTTCTAGCATGTCTTGAGCCATCATTGAAGAATATTCTCATAAAATTAACATGAGAAAAATATCTCTTGGATTTCAGTCAGCAACAATGCAGAGTAAGCATTTTAAAATATATAGTGGACATTGAAGTTGATGCCCAGCAGTGGCAATCCATTTCATGCTTAAACACAATCTTCAAGCCACGTAGATTGTGATTAAACATGAAACACTGTCCCTGCTGGGTCCTGACCTCAATGTCCACTTCTGTATTTACATATGTTCAATTTCTAATATTGAGCACTTTAACCCATAACTATAAAATATATTAAAACAATTTTTTTCTCACAGACACAGAGTATGAAGACGTAAAAATTACTAGAATTAACAATGTTAATCAGGGTCTGATAAATCTATTAAATTTTTACCAGATATCATATTTATAATCCACAAAAAAAATGCTAATTGTAGGCCCCAAACTTGAAACATGCACCACATTAGTCTTTTAAAAACATTAAATTTGAATATTTAGAGGCAATTAAAATGTTCACTTCTATTATTTTTTTAAACTTATTTCTAATATGATCATTTTACTATAAAATAAACAAATTTCTTTAAAAGAAAAAAATATGATACTTTCCCAGTGTTTGTTTTTTTTTTTTTTTTTTTTTTTTTTTTTTTTTTTTTTTTTTTTTTTTTTTTGTTTTTTTTTTTGTTTGTTTTTTTTTTTTTTTTTTTTTTTTTTTTTTTTAACATCCCCCCCCCCTTTCTTTTCAGTATATGTAATTTTATTTTATTTTTCGTTTGTTTACAGGAACGTAATGCGGAAAGTGCTATTGAGGCTCTCAAAGAATATGAACCTGAAATTGCCAAAGTTATACGCCAGAACTACCGTGGTGTACAGAAGGTTCGTGCCAGCAACTTGGTGCCAGGAGATATTGTTGATATTTCTGGTTGGTATTTTTAAAATAAAATTCTTCATTCAAACTCTTAAGTTGTAACTTGTTACACTCAAGGTACTATAGAAGCTGATTGTATTAACAATTTTCCTTTCCTCCACTTTTTTTACTGGTTAGTTTGGGCTTTGTGAATATATCATGAAATTCTTTCCTCTTCTAAAAATAGTCATCAAATAAAAACTGGTCAAAAGGTTTGTGTGGACAGACTATACTCTTTTCGTTGTGAAATAATCCATGTCAACGAGTTTGAACACCTTGATGTTGGTTAGTCACAGTTAATTTGCTTTTGAAGGCTTCATTCTCACAAGGTACTCAATGATGGTAGCCTTTTGCCAGACTATAGTAAATTTTGTTTAATCACTGGATTTAGTTTCATTTTAGTTGATAACTCTGATTAAATGGTAACAGTATAAAACTGGATTTGTGGTTTATGTAATCCAAAAGTTTCACCAAATCTCTTCATATCCTTTAAATAACTTTGTTTCAAGACCAACTTAAAAAAAATCTGAATCTCTGGGATAAGAAGCTATCATTCTTTTCATTCAGACTAATATCCTCATTTTTGTCATTATCACCTGATTAATTTCTGGGATGAAGATTTATTTATATTCAGACTAACATCCTCATCCTTGTTGATAATATAACAACTCACATATTTGAAGTGAAGTTGTGCAGTTCAAATATTCCAAGTTTATCTGGTGTAATATGATAGTCAAAATAATTATTTCTTGTCAAAATAGAAAGGGCTAATTTCTTGTTATATTGCAAGTTTAAACCTCTGTATGTTTCATTTTAAAATATTGCTCTGTATCAAAGAGAACATGATATCCCTATAAACATTGCATTAGATTTTTATCAAAAAGAATTTGCTCCCAAAAACTTTATTCTCCTGACAAAAGAATAATTGCTAATCTCACCCTTGGGTAGAAATTTTTTTTTTTTTTTTTTTAACCACTAAAAGCTGGACACTTCTATGTTAGGTTCTCTGTGTATTAAGAATTTCTAAGTTTCATCAGCCAATTTTTTGGGAACAGCCTGAGGCCAAGAAGCATTTTACCACCCATTCTGTGATAACTAAACTATTTCTAAAGAAATTCTTCCTTGACAGGCTGCATGAGTGAATTTAAACCTAAAAACCAGCCTGTAATCTCCTTGTATAGTCACACAGATTGCATTATGGTGTGGGGAGTGACTGAAAGTTTCCAAAATATGACCAAGTATAACTAACTTTTTAATCCCTTCTTGTTTAGGTAGATTTTTTTTTCTTTTTTTTTTTTTTTTTTTTTTTTTTTTAACCCCACTTAAAGCACCTTCCCCCACCCTCTATGCATCTATCTTAATTTTTCAAAGTTTTACTTTGAAATAACACAAATAAACTTAAAGAAAAATAGGCCAGCACACATAATTAGAAAGGTTTGAAGTTGGTTGGGCTTTACTCATTTATAAATCCTTTAACATTTTAATAATTTGCCAAATCTTCATTTAATATTAACTCTATACATGCTAGCTAGAAGTTTTGATATTTAAAGACCTGTGGATTTTAAAGAAAAAAACTTTCTGTACTTAATTTTTTGCATTATTTCCAAGATGAGGTATTGTAACTATTTGTTATTTATGTTTTTGGGACTATTGTCCTCTTTATTATGACATTTTGGCCATTGTATGCTCCAGCCTTCAGATACTAATGGCAAAATAAATAGTATAAATCTTTTTTTCTTCCCTCCTTGAAGTAAATATTATAAATGACTTTGAGTTTGTTCTTTTCTTGGTTGTTGGTCACAACATTTCTGGCTCTTTTTTTATTCTCCGGTCATCTTGAAGCCTCTAGTATTTAATCACTTTTTGGTAATTATTATACATTAAACTATATTAATTTTTTTTTTCTTGGTTGTTAGAGAACCATTTCAGCTGTTCTACCCTTCAGGTGTGTTAAGATTCAGTTAAATTTCTGGCAATTTTTTTTTTTTTTTTTTTTTTTTTTTTCAATCCACAGCTGGTTTCTCTGCTGTTTATGCTAAGGGGTTACTCATAATCATACCCTACATGTGTAACACTGTACATTAATATTTTTTTCATTATCATCATCACTGTTATTACTACTACTATAATGACTTGAACTTTGTATATGAAGATGGAATTTAACCTCCTATAATTTTATTTTTCAGTTGGTGACCAGGTTCCTGCTGATATTCGTATCCTTAGGATTTCCTCCACTACCCTCAGGATTGACCAAGCCATTCTCACTGGTAAGTATCTTGTAATGAGTGCAAGTGTGTCTTCAAAGAAGCGAAGCTACTGTTTGTCAGTAGAATTAAACCGTGTATAGTCTCTCACAAGTTTGGTTCTAGAGATTATTAGCAGCTCTACAAGGGTGTACTGAACAGCAAATCAGCAATCCCTCCTTTCTTCAATCAATTTGAAGTCCTGACATCTACAGCAGATAAAGTTGAGTGCTTTGCTCAGAAGTTCTTTCAAGTCAACACTACTTATCTGGCATACCCACACCTGATCCCCCCCCCCAAAAAAAATGGCGGCTCTACAGGGGGATCTGCCATAACCCCGTCACTGGTTTCAGATCTTCTTTTCCAAACTAGACTCCCACAAGGCAACTGGATGTGATGGGATCCCACCTGTCATCCAAAAGAAATGTGCTCCCAAGCTGGCTCCAGTTCTCTCCAAACTCTACAACAATTGCCTTGCTGCTTCCTGCTTTCCAGCTTGTTAGAAGTCCTCCGCTGTAGTTCTTGTTTTTAACTTTTAGCACTATGTAGGTGACTTTCTCTTGCCACTACAATTGACTTTGATTGCTGAATAAGATCGAATAATAATATATTTTTGAATTTCATGGTTGTGTCCTGTGGTAACAAAAATAACCTTCATTAAAATTGACAATGAGGTATATACAATAGAAGTAATACTGTGAATAATGCAGAATGCTAAAGGTCAAGAACTCTGAAGAACCCTCTGACCCCTCAAATTATCACCCTATTATTCTTTTACTGCTTTTTGGCAAAGTATTCAAGGCTCTAATCAATGCTGAAGTGGTTAAACATCTTGCTTCTCATAACCTCCTCTCAGATAAACTCTTCTATTTGATCATCACTGAATATGTATATCAACCGCTAGATAATAATAGCAAAGCCCAAGCTGTGACTCTAGATGTCTATAAGGCATTTGCTAGGGTTTGGCATGCTGGTCTTCTACACATGCTCTAGGGCTACAGTATCACAGGACAAATGTTTGATTTAATCCAATTGTTCATATCAAATCATGAAATGAAGATCATTGTGAACAAGCTCCCTTCCAGATCCTTTCACATAAACACGGGTGTCCCCACCCCCAAGGTTCTATCCGGAGTCCTCCTCTGTTTTTGATTTTCATTAATGATCTCCCTGATATCATCAGTTCTTAATTAGATATTTACACAGATGACCCTACCATGTACTCCTGTCTCAATAGCAAATCCATTGCATCTAACAAAGTAAATCTGTTGGCTGCTCTTGAAAAGGACCTCAAGTCAGTGGCTAACTGGAGTGGAAAATAGCTTGTAAATTTTAATGCCTCTAAAACAAAACTGCTTTCACTTGATCATCATAGAACTTTTCTGCCTGCCATCAGCAGGTGAGACGCTAGACTCCTAGAGAACACCCTGCACTTTCTTTGCCCCATGTTTTCAACTGCATGTGCTGCAAGAAAAGTTGGGTCACTGTTGTGCTAGTAAATTTCAAAATTTATCTTGCACATTTACAAATTTATCATTTATCTATGCATTGAATATTGTTGCTATATCTGGTCACCTGCTCCTGCTGCTTATGGATATATTCTTGACAAAATCCAAAGGATCTGTAATGTAATCAATCCTAACAAGGCATTTCAATTTCAGTCACTTTCTCACAGACATGACGTGGCTTCCCTCTCTTTTTCTACAAATATTTTCATGGCAACTGCTCTGACCAGCTTTTTTTCCCTTAGTGCTCCTACATAAATTTAAGCATGCTACTAGATTGGCATTTTGTTCCCACCCTTTTACTGTCGAAATAGCTAAATGCAACCACCACCTACACCTTTTCTCGTACTTCCCTCTTGTAGAACACCCTTCCATTTACTTGCTTCCTTGATAACTACAATCTTCAAAAATTTAAATGCAATGTCAATTGCCATCTTCTTGAATCCCATTCATCTTTTGTCCTTGACTCAATCCTCCCTATACTCTGTCTTTACTTTCACTCCCTGTAACGTCTTGCATACTAGTGACCTTTCCACCTTGATTATGTTGAAATGAGTAAAAGAGAAAGTTAAAGAGATCTAATGAGAGTCAAGTTCATTTAGTTATTAAAATCTTGCTTCACCTTAATAAAATTTCCAATTTCCTTCACTTCAGGTGAGAGTGTCAGTGTAATCAAGCACACAGACCCTATTCCGGATCCAAGGGCTGTCAACCAGGACAAGAAAAACATTCTCTTCTCTGTAAGTAACTGGATATTTTCTCTGGCAAATCTAGAGCCAACCAGAATTTTTAAAAGTAACCAAACTCTATCCCAAAATATAAACACCTGGCTTCAAAATGCAACTAAAACCAGATTGCATCCACACTTTTATATAATAATGCCTTATAAAAGAATTTGTCTGCAAAATATACAAAATAAAAACAAATCTTAAAATTACCTGTTTCTGCACAAAAATAACCTGTGGGGTTAGTATGCTGGTAAAATAACCCATCTAAATCTAAGCTGGCTGATAGTAATTTCACTGTTTAAAAATAACATGGATGTCCACTCGAAACAAGTGTTCACCCTAAAAATAACATTTATTGCAATAAGAAATACCGTGCAATAATTTCCTGGGCAAGACTAAATTTTTAAATTGTATTTTTATGAAAATGCATTCATATAGATGTAACTTTGTAATATCTTCTTTTGCAGGGTACTAACATTGCCGCAGGTAAATGCCGTGGTGTTGTCATTGGCACTGGACTCTCCACTGAAATTGGTAAGACATGTTGGAAGCTTAATTTCTTTAATAAAAGCTTATTTGTTCCTTTTAATTGGGTAATTAACAATTTTAGTTTTGTATATATTCGTATAATATACATTTTTGTTTTTCCTGACTTCAAAGTTTTTTTTTGATTAATTTCTGTTCTTCAGGGGTTTTGGGTTTTAAATATTTTCATTTTTTTTTTTTAACACAAATGATGGAAGATGTTATTTGTTAATATTCCAATTCAATAAAATGTTGAAAATTTAATTTCTTGAAAATATGAATTTTAGCCTGTGTGTCCAGACTTTAGGGACATCCTGTATAAGTGCCTATTACATGGGAAGAGCTTATTAATTGGGAGTATTGGAATTTTTTCTTTCTCAATATGCAATAAACAGGTGGGGTTTTAAAAGGGGGTAACTCAAAGATTAAGTGGGGTCTTAAGATATCATGGTATGGTCAGAATTTTTCCTAAAGGATAAAATATCTCCCCACACATTTTTACACCTTCACAACGTTTTGACCTCAGTTTGGAGATCAGCCATTTGTTTGGCCTCTAAGAGTATCTCTTTGTAGTGAAAGAGATAATCAGGTACCCCGGAAAAAAGTTTGTTTTGTGTGCGATCTGCCGAAGAAACATTACCAAAAAGTAGTCAGCAAAAATCTTATACCGAAGAAAATGGCGACTTTTTCCATCGTAGAATACACGAAGCGCGCTGTCGCTTGGTTTGACAAGGTAAGTCGCCGTTTTCTTCGCTATAAGATTTTTGCTGACTACTTTTTGGTAATGTTTCTTCGGCAGATCGCACGCAAAACACAAACTTTTTTCCGGGGTACCTGATTATCTTTCACTACAAACTTGATATATAGAATTCAATGTAATATATTATTTTCATCCTAGAGAGGCATATTTTCTCATGCCTTTCAAATTCAGTACATACCAGTGTTTTCGTACTGTGGATTCTGCTCAGTCTCATCTTGATATGGAATGGTTCTGCTTACCAGCCCTCACTCAGTTTTGACCAACTGGACAAATCACCCTAGGTTATATTTTGATTCTTTACATTGAACAAAAACTGGAAAAAGCCTCTATTCATGAGGAATAGAAAGGGAAAAATACCAGCATGATGAGAAAGAACCCACCCTAATTTCAATGTTTGATTATTTATGGGTTTGACTGGGTAATATAGGCAATATATTCACTGCTGCTTCAGACCTTTCCTTCAGCCAGCAAGAACCCTAACTACACCCTCATCTCATCTCAAACTTCAACTGTACATCTTGCCCTTGATTATCAACTAATGGCTGGCTTCCTTCTCCAACTGTGACTCTGCCTGCCCACATCTTGACTTTGGCTTGTAACTCGCCGACATTTCATCATAGTCTATAGTTGGCTCACAGCTAATTGTTCTATTATGTAAGCCCACAACCAAAACTCCCTGCCTTCTGTCCAAGTGGCTCTTTATCCCAAAGGTTTTTGTTTCTTTGCTGCACTTCTCTTCTCACTACTTGTGGACAGCAGGTGATGTTTTTTAAGATCTTCTGTCTAGACTGTTGGTCATAAAACATCAGACTAGTCAGTCCCAGAGAAAATCATTTAGAGTCCACTTGGTGACTGTTCTAATCAAGGGTGATTCATTGTGATGTAACCATGTTAGCTACCATGACACTTGATTTGCTTTCTTGTGCATACTGTAGTTCAAAATGGCTGCTTTAAAGTAAAATAACCTACTTAATTTTTGTTTTCTTTCAGGTAAAATCAGGAATGAAATGATGGATACTGAAACAGAAAAGACCCCTCTGCAGCAGAAATTGGATGAATTTTCTCAGCAATTGTCCAAGGTAAGGGTAGAAAGCATTTTCAAATGAAACCAGTATCAAATGTTAAAATATGGACTTGGTCATTTCTTAAGACCAACCCTCACTGCACACCATGAGAATTGAAATGAAAGATTGATTGGAACCAGCAGCAAAAAAAGTAATTATTTTTAATATAAAACATAAAGGGCAGAAGAAAGTCTTTTTGATAGAATGGTAATTTTCCCACTTTAGATTTGTTAGGGTTTTCTTTCCACTCATAGACTTGTTTATTCCCTGAATTTGGTCAAAAAAAACTGCTTATTAAAAAATTTTTTTCTCTAAAGTTGTTCTGATCCTTCTTATATTGATGTATCAAAACTTTGGGGACTCTGATTGTAGAGTTACAAGAGATCCCTTTTTTGCAATTGTTGTCATGCTCACTAAGTCATTAGTGACTCTACAAAAAAGTGAGTGGGATGGAGACAAGGAAAAGGCTATGTGAAAGCCTCTTGTGTTTTTTTGTTTTTTTTTTTTCTACCCCCCAAATCAGATTCTAACTCTTGATTTCTAATACAGTATTTAAATAATCTGCATACAAGTTAATATGCTGACAAACCAAACAAATTGAAATTAGTTAACATTAATGAAGTCTAAAAAAAATAATTTTTGTCTTTTACAATGCTTGATTGATGTAGGTCTCCCAGAAGTATGTTATTTAGACTGTTTTAACTTATGATACTACAGTAGGTTAGATTTACCTTTTTCTATATGAATAGGTTTTACTTTATATATATGAAAAAGCTGTCAAAGAGTTTGATGTGGGTGTTTATGGGATGAAAAACAATTTTAATCCATTATATATTTACTATTTCAGGTTATCACCATCATCTGTATTGCTGTCTGGGCTATCAACATCGGTCACTTCAATGACCCTGCTCACGGTGGATCTTGGATCAAGGTATGTAATATTATTTCTCAACATTATATAGATGTTTGGTTTTACGACCTGAAGTCGAATTTTAAAATCCGGCTTGTCTGCTGGTTTGTCTTAATTAAAAGTATAATTTTGTGCATCTCGGCATTAACAATTTAAAAAAATTTTTTTTTAATATGAAAATATACTGCATATACATATTTGCCCAATGGATTTGTCTATTGTCTCTTTAGGCTATTTTGACTGGCTTCTAAAATCTGTAAAGTATAAATAAACACTTGTAAAGGACCTACCATTCAGTCCCTGTTGTTGAAATCTATTGGTTGGTAAATTTTAGACTGCCAGTAGAACAGTTTAAAAAAAAAAAAAAAAAAAAAAAAAATTTCTTAATCCTTTCACTCCAAACAAGGCAATAAAGCGACTAAGACAGTTACTGAGTGAGAAAATGACAAGAGAAACTCTTTAAATAGTGAGAACAATAAAAGAACAGAAATTAAGACTGCAGATAATGACTGACACTCCATTTAAATTTTTGAAGATCAATGAATCGCTCTTCTGGAGGTTAACATCAGTCGGAAGGCAGAAATAGTTCTTTCAGACAATTAAGAGAGCAGTTTTGTTTTGGTGGCATTAAAATTAACAAGCCCGAAAGTTTATATAAAAAGTTTTTCATTGTTGATAACTTTGTGGTATTCAAATATTGTTTTTCTTTCTTTCCCCATACTTCCAATTTCATGGAAGAATCTGTTTTTCTCTCCACATTATGGAAATGATCAAAGATCACCAGTAGGTGCCTAAAAATAAAGAGTACCATATATATATATATATATATATATATATATATATATACACACACACACACACACCAATCGGCTTAATTCATAAATTAGGGAAGGAGTAGATAGTTTCACTTATTCATTTCACAATTCATACTCTTCTCTGGTCCTTTTGAACAGGAGTAGAAGTTTTCCTTTGTTTCCTGTTTAGGATTGGATTTCTATTTCTTAAATCTTTCCATTCTTTTTCACTTCCAGTAGTCCCCTTGTGTCATAGTCGTAATATTTTGCCTCTTGCTTGGAGTGAATTGATTTTTATAAAAAAAAAAAAAAATATTGCTTTAGATCTTCAGAATGTCAGAATACTGTTAAGTTAGTTGAGAACTTTCACTTCTTCACTTAAAGATAATTTCATGTATAGTGTGGCCTTTTTTATGCCTCTCCAGATAAAAAATTATACCAAAAATACACATGTTTTAACCACTTCAAAAAAAAAAAAATAAAATACCTGTGCAATACACTCTAGCATATGAAGAAAAATTTGGAAAAAACAAACAAAAATCCTTAAATGCAATTATGTTGTTTAAAATGAATGAAATGTCGACGTCTGACATTTCGGTTTAATAAACCTTTTCCAAGACAATATTCATTAAAATACAATTCAGTTAAAAAAAAAAAAATTTTTCAGTTATCTGTTTTGGATAAGACTTGTTGTTTATGTCCATCGTCTTTGTCAAATTGAACTGAATTGTATTTTAATGAATATTTTCTTGAAAAAGGTTTATTAAACCGAAACGTCAGATGTCGACATTTCATTCATTTTAAACAACATAATTGCATTTAAGGATTTTTGTTTGTTTTTTTTTCCAAATTTTTCTTCATTCTGTCGGATCTATATCCATTTACATTTGCTTACACTCTAGCATATACAGTAAAATATCTTGTAAACTATATAGCTTTCTGCACTTTTTTTTTTTTTTTTTTTTTTTTCCAAAATCTCTATAAAATTGTTTATGTTCTTTACCTTAACAATCTGTAAAATTCTCTAATATCCTAACTTTTATATATTTTTTTATTCTCTCAACTCCTCATTCCAGGGAGCTATCTACTATTTCAAAATTGCTGTTGCCTTGGCTGTAGCTGCTATTCCAGAAGGTTTGCCTGCTGTCATCACCACTTGTTTAGCTTTAGGTGAGTACAATGTTTCTTTGCTTTAACCATGGCAGCCATAGTGGATTTTACTATCATTAATGAAAATCTCAAAACATTGCAATTTGTTTTTAAATATTTGAAATCGAGAACTTTGTATTCCAAGAATTAGGTTCTATTCTCAAGCTGAAAAGGTGCCTAAAATATGAACTGGATATTTTTGTGCCCCTATCTAGTTATAAAAAGGGGGGAAAATATCTACACTTCAATACTGATAACTGTACCAAATACTCTGATTTTATGGTATATAAAACCCATAAATTCTCAAAAAAAAAAAAAAAAAAATCTTCCTTTTGGGCCATTTATTTAAATTATATAATATGAACTTGAAGACCGTGACAACCATCAGGCACAGATTTAAAAACTTTCAATCCACGCTTATCTATTGCCATGTGCATGATGAAAAATCTGTTGTACCAAATGTTGAGAAACTAAATTTATATTAGTATAAATTTTAGCTTTATTTTACATTGTGCAGTTATATATATATATATATATATATATATATATATTGAAGAGAAGAGACGTGCCGCAAACGTTTTTGGGTGTAATGTCTTTTTTTTACTTTTCTTTTTTTTTTTTTTTTTTTTTTTTTTTTATTATTATGCTTTATTTTCCATCATTTTACTACACGTGTTTCTGGTCTCATGACGGTCTTCAGGTAAAAGCGGAGATTTCCACATATTATTAAAAATAATTAATTTTTTCCTTATGTTTTTCAATGTTGAATATTCTCGATATGAGACATTCTCTGTTTAGTAATCCGAATGTCTTTCTTGAATTGGCAGAAAGAACTCTTCATTGCCAATTCAAGAAAGACATTCGAATTACTAACACAAAAACAGTTCTCACTCTGAGCTGATATCCATTACACCACAACGCGCATCCACATGAAGATACTCGTGTCTATACATAGTCCGTTTTGTGCTCTTTACATGGATGCATTTAGTTGCTATGGAAAGGACTGTGATTCATTGGGAGGCAGAAAGAAGAGCCAAAATGTGGAAAACAGGAGGGGGGGCGGAAATGACTTAAAGACTTGATCCTATAAGAATTGGTGCTGGTCGGAGGAGGGAAGATCTTAACTAGAAGAAACCAGTTAATGGTGTTCAAGTTGGTTTATAGTCCCGAGTATAACAGACT